CCCCCTCCCCCCGATTAAAGAAAAACACAAAACATGCAAGAGATAAAGAGAGACGAGCGAGAGAGAGAGAGGAGAGGAGGAATAAAGAGAGGAGGATAAATCCGCAACACTGACCATCTGCTTCATAAGCTTGAACGCAAAAGTAGACCGATTTACGCCCTGGTAAAGCAAGGCACCCTGCCTCACACCGGTTCCCGCCATTTTTGTAGCCTTCCCTGCGAAGATAAGGATGTGGAAAAAAAGGGTTAATCGGGGGTTAATCGGGGGTTAATCGGGGGTCAATCGGGGGTCAATCGGGGGTTAATCGGGGGTTAATCGGGGGTTAAGGCTATGCATCATATTAGAATCCAACAAGGAGAGAAAAAGGGTTAAGGAGATGGATTAGCAGGAGAAGCAGAAAAGAACGATGTGCATCATATAAGAATCCAACAAGGAGAGAAAAGTCAGAAAAAAAAAAAAAAAAAAAAAAAAGAATTCAAAAAAAGCCCTGTTAAAAAAAAAAAAAAAAAAAAAAAAAAAGAAAGAAAGAAAGAAAGAGCGCTCTTGCGCCTTCGGCGCTTTCCATATTAAACACTTCGCCGGTTCGAGCGAGTCGGGACCGGGACCACATTGGCTCTCAAAAGTGCCACTCTGCAAACAAGGAGGCATATGGATGACACCTGTGGCAAGGGTCTCTGGCTAAGAGCCTGAGGGCAGGGCATACTCACTTTAGGAAATTTCCAACTGAACATGGCCATAATTACAGCCAGGTACATCCAGGGGAAAAAAAAAAAAAATCCTGGTGTGAATAATATCCCCTCACACTGAAAACAGACCAAAAAAAAACCTAACACGTTGCCTGACCTATATCTTCGTCATCCACACCGAAATCGGGAACGAAGTAACCCAACAATTTTTTATTTTTTTTTATTTTTTTTTTTAACCCAACAATTTTCACGCCCGACTACATGAGACCCGTTACGGCTTCGCCCGCAAATACAGAAAAGGACAAAAAAGCACCAAAAAAAAAAAAAACGCATAAGGAACTGGCCCCCTATCATATGCCGCTTCTTTCACAATCAGAAAGAGGAGAGCCTGAGAGCAGACAGAAATCCGCATGCAAGACAATATAGGAGGGCATACCACCGAACCTTTTTTCTTTTACCTTTTTTTTTCCTTTTTTTCCCTTTAAAAATATATATATGTGAGTGTTTTGTTTGGGAAGCCGTTACCTTTGCGGCATCCTTTTTGTTTTCTGCTGTGCAAGAACTCTTAAAACGTTTCTGAGAAAATCCTGTCCGTTTGTCCCGTTGATGTTTTTGCTCAAGATTCCGATTCAGATTCAGACTTTGTTTGCTGTGTCCTCTAAATATGTTTGTGACCAAGCGATCTTGTAGATCTTGTACGCATGCCACGTGCTTACTTCTTGAGTTTTGACTCTGTGTGTGCAAGTGCATGCACACTTATGTGTGCACGTGCATGCACACGTTGGTGAGTCTCAGTTTGGTGGACTCGAATCTCGAATGATGCCATTGACGACTGGCCCGGGGAAGTCGTTGGAAGTCGCCTCCGAAATATAGGAGTGCCAGCCACTGATGCTAAGAAGCAGGTTTTGCATTGTATGAATGAAACAATCAATCAGAGCATTCAATCTGATTGGCAGTTGCTCTTCGTGTTGGGGGGGGACCTTGTCTGGAGTAGAGCATTGACATGGGAGGCATAATGCCGGCCGTGCTTCTCGGAACATTTCATGGAGGGCAAAAGGCAAAGAAGAAAAAAAGTAGCACGGGTCAGAATCACATAATGGACAGCTTGGCGGAGTCC